TTTGAAACTTAATTTGAAATCTCAGTTTATCGCAATGCGTATCACATTACAATATGAAATATTGCAATATGCATTGTCTCTGAAATTAAATTGCAATAAGTATCTGGATATGTATCGTTATCAAAATCAAATATCGTGATACATATCTTGGATGAAAAAATGCAAGTGCACAGCCCTACCAATAACTGAATTCTGTCTTTAGTGACAGGGTGCAAATATATGGACCCAATAACTGAGTATTGTCTCTGGTCACAGGGTGCAAATATATGGACCCAATAACTGGGTCCTAGGGTCTTCCTAGATGATGAAAGTTGGAAGTTGCCTTGGATAGCAGCTACATGTATAAAGTATATAGTATATTCTTGGATCATAAATATTAAAGAATAATTTAATTGACCATGAATATGCTCTATATCATTGCAAACAAGATTTCATTCCTGTGTGATCAAGGAATGGTGTATTTGGTTAAACTAGATAATCAGGTGCTGGTTTTGCTAGGTCATACATTGAACATTGGATATAAAATTGAAAACTGTTCTGGTCTTTCCACAGAATCGTCTAGTGAAAAAGTAATATGTGAAGTTGATCTAAACTCTAGCTATTTTGGTTTTTTCAAAGAAGATTTTAAGTTTTTGCTTTACACATATAAGGAAAATCAATGGCCCCCGGGGTGGGGCCAATTTTGACCCCAGGGCTTTTATTTCAACAAACTTTGTAGACACTCACTAGAAGATGTTTCATGCTTAATATCTAAACTCTAGCTATTTGGTTTTTTTTCAAAGAAGATTTTTTAAGTTTTTGCTATACACATATAAGGAAAATCAATGACCCCCGGTGCAGGGCCAATTTTAAACCCAGGGCTTTTATTATACCCCCACAAACGAAGTTTAGGGGGGGTATATAGGAGTCAGCCTTCGGTCGTAGGGTCGGTCGGTTGGTCGGCGTCCGTCGGTCGGTCCACATCATGGTTTTCCGGACGATAACTTAGAGTTTGGAATGAGGTATTGTAATCAAACTTGTATATAGCAACCTTATGTGGAAACTCCGGTTGGTAATTGTATTTGGACCCCCCTGGGGTCAAGGTCAAAAGGTCACCGTTACTAAAATAGAAAAATGGTTTTTTTCCGGACAAATAACTAGAGTTAGGGAATGAGATTATTGTTATCAAACTTTGCATATAGCAAGCTTATATGAAGACCTGGGTTGGTATTGCATTTTAGGCCCCTGGGTCAAGGTCAAGGTCATGGTTAACTAAAAAATAGAAAAATGGTTTCCGGACAATAACTTGAGTTAGGAATGAGATATTGTAATCAAACTTGGTGTATAGCAAGCTTATATGAAGACCTGGGTTGGTATTTGTATTTGGACCCCCTGGGGTCAAGGTCAAGGTCACCGTTACTAAAAATAGAAAAATGGTTTCCGGACAATAACTAGAGTTAGGAAATGAGATAATTGTTATCAAACTTGGTGTATGCAAGCTTAATAGAAGACCTGGGTTGGTATTGCATTTGGACCCCCTGGGGTCAAAGTCAAGGTCACCGTTACTAAAAATAGAACAAATGGTTTGCCGGGACCAATAACTTGAGTTAGGAATGAGATATTGTAATCAAACTTTGGTGTATAGCAAGCTTATATGAAGACCTGGGTTGGTATTGTTTTTGGACCCCCTGGGGTTCAAGGTCAAGGTCACCCGTTACTAAAAATAGAAAAATGGTTTCCGGACAATATCTAGAGTTAGGAATGAGATATTGTTATCAAACTTTGTGTATAGCAAGCTTTATATGAAGACCTGGGGTTGGTATTGAAATTTGGACCCCTGGGTACTATTAGAACATGTTTGATGCTAAATATCTTAGCTCTAGCTCTTTGAGTTCTTTAAAAGAAGATTTTTTAAGTTTTTACTATATGCATATAGGGAAAATCAATGACCCCCTGGGGCGGGGCCAATTTTGACCCCAGGGCTTTTATTTAAACAAACTTGGTAGAACACCCATAAGAAGATGTTTCATGCTAAACATCTAAGCTCTAGCTCATTGGGCTTTTTAAAAGAAGATTTTTTTTAAGTTTTTACTATACACATATAGTTAAAAACAACGACACCCCTGGGGCGGGGCCAGTTTTGACCCCAGGGCTTTTATTTGAACAAACTTTGTAGACACTTACTAGAAGATGTTTCATGCTTAATATCTAAACTCTAGCTATTTGGGTTTTTTTCAAAGAAGATTTTAAGTTTTTGCTATACACATTTAAGGAAAATCAATGACCCCCGGGGCGGGGCCAATTTTGACCCCAGGGCTTTTATTTGAACAAACTTTGTAGACACTCACTAGAAGATGTTTCATGCTTAATATCTAAACTCTAGCTATTTGGGTTTTTTTAAAGAAGATTTTTTAAGTTTTTGCTTTACACATATAAGGAAAATCAATGACCCCCGGGGCAGGGCCAATTTTGACCCCAGGGCTTTTATTTGAACAAACTTGGTAGACACCTATTAGAACATGTTTGATGCTAAATATCTTAGCTCTAGTTCTTTGAGTTCTTTAAAAGAAGATTTTTTAAGTTTTTACTATATGCATATATAAGGAAAATCAATGACCCCCTGGGGCGGGGCCAATTTTGACCCCGGGGCTTTTATTTGAACAAACTTGGTAGACACTCATTAGAACATATTTCATGCAATATCTTAGCTCTAGCTCTTTGGGTTCTTTTAAAGAAGATTTTTTAAGTTTTTACTATATGCATATAGGGAAAATCAATGACCCCCTGGGGCGGGGCCAATTTTGACCCCAGGGCTTTTATTTGAACAAACTTGGTAGACACTCACTAGAAGATGTTTCATGCCAAATATCTACGCTCTAGCTCTTAGGGTTTTTTAAAAGAAGATATTTAAAGTTTTTTCTTTCGGTTGCCATGGCAACCAGAGTTCTGCATGGAATTAAATTCTTTGAACAATTTTTAAAGGTGACCACCAAAGGAACATTCCTGTGAAGTTTGGATGAAATCGGCCTAGTGGTTTATGAGGAGATGTCATTTAAAGTAAAAGTTAACGGACGACGGACGAAAAGCGATCACAAAAGCTCACCCTGTCACTTTGTGACAGGTGAGCTAAAAAGTGAAATCTTCTCTAGAACCACAAGGCATAGAGCTTAGATATTTTGCATGTAGCATTGTCTAGTGGACTGCTACCAAAGTTATTCAAATCATGACCCCCGGGGTCAAGATGGCCCCCGTCCTGGGGCTTATTAGTTTTATATAGAATTATATAGTAAAATTTTGAATATCTTCTCAAGAACAGAACCACCTCAGTCTCTCTTCTACCTTGACCTAAATTTGGACTTAGATTTTGAATGGCCTTTCTTGGTTAACTAAATTTTACAAGTTTCTTGTTCTTGTATCATGCTTGAACCCTTTGATACTTATATACAAAAGTGAAATTGTAACCCATGGTCAGTCTGTATCATCTTCATCACTCATTCTCACCTAGACCTTATTTTGGACTTTACTTGACTTTGTTGGCCAAATTTTATATGTTTCTCCTAGGATTTATGTCCTTTGCTTGTACATTTCAATACTTGTACACTTCAATACTTGCATAAGTGCAATTGCAATCATTCTTATTTTGACTTTGACTAAATTTTACATGTTTCTGCTATCATTCATACCATTTACTTAAACACTTTGATTCTTATTTACATATCTTAAATTTTTACTTATTAATCAATAATCATCAATGTATGTCACCCATCAGTTTGGTCTTGACCTAATTTTGGATTTTAAAATCCTAAAAACTCTTACTATTATCTGAAAACTTTGATAACTATAGGTACTGGTTATAATTATGCATCCGTATCACTCAGATTCAGTTTGGTGTTTGACATAAACATTTCCAATGATTGAAAGTAAAGTAATTAGAATTCTAAATATATATTAAATCCTTGAACTTTTAACACTTCATCTGCATGCAAACTTAATTGACAAAGCTGCTACCTGGAGCATAAGCGTTTATGGAATGCAGTGTCTTGTTTTACTTCCTACTCTGTCAAAGTTAACAGTACAGTAAAAAGATTTAAAAAAAAAAAAAAACGTCTGAAAAATGTGCAAAAGGGTCCTTAATAATTTCTTAAATTTATAATAAAAAAACACCACCAGTTCTTGAGAATATGCGACACCATTATCATCAAAATATCATACTCATGCATTTATTGTTTTTAGCTCAACTATTTGAAGAATACTCTAGCTATTGCAGTCACCCATTCGTCGGCGTCGGCATCGGCGTCCCTGTGGTTAAGTTTTTACGTGTAAGCTGGTTTCTCCAAAACTACTGAAGGGAATGGATTGAAACTTCACACATTTGTTCGCAGTGATTATCTAACATGATAGGCACAGGTCACATAACTCTGGATTGCCTTATTCCACAGTTATGCCCCTTTTTGACTTAGAAAATTTTGGTTAAGTTTTTGCATGTAAGATGGTATCTCGGTAACTACTGAAGGGAATGGATTGAAACTTCACACACTTGTTCGCAGTGATTATCTAAGATGATGGACACAGGTCCCATAACTCTTAATTTCCTTTTTAACAGATTTATGCCCCTTTTCTGACTTACAAATTATTGCTAAAGTTTTTGCGTGTAAGCTGGTATCTCCATAACTGTATGTATAAAAGACTAAAGAAGAACAATTTTTGTATTTCAGCATCAAATATTTTAAACATTTGTGCGGCTGTTTTGTATATGCAAATGACATGTTGTTTGTGCCATTTTGGAACAATTTTATGTATTCATATAGCTTAGGCATTTCTATACTCAATAAAACACCCTTTTGACAAGGCTTTAAAATAGTCAAGCGTGGCTGTCCTCCGACAGCTCTTGTTACTGTTTTAGTGTATAGACTACGTAACATCTTAATTTAAATTACTGAATCATAGTCTTTGAATATTTGTTAAGTGTTACAAACAGGCAGATAGAGAAATAACAGTTTCAATTTGTTTTCTTGATGTAGATATTAGTGTAAGGGCCAAGCTCCAATCAGTAACAAGACAAAGAAGTGAAATAGAAATAACGCAGTCTTAGTCAGATGAAGGGGATGTGAAACCTAGTACTTTCAAGAGTGATGATGGTAAAACCTTTTATTCTTTTTCCAGTCTTTAATATGTTGATGAAGGGGGCAAGCATTTCAGCCCTTTGCATTAGGAAGTTGCAACAGGGTAAATGGATCAAGCTCCTGATTGTACAACTCCCTTTGGTGATTTTTATGCTCCCACTGAGAGGAGGCATATAGATTTACCCTTGTCTGTCAGTCCGACCCTTATAGCTCCAAAGGTATATGAGCTAAGATCATAAAACTTTACAGAAATGCTTGTCAGCGTATGAAGTTGTGCATCTGGTGTTTAACTTGTAGATTTACTCAATATTGGCAGAGTTATTGCCCTTTACTTAGTCATATTGACAATATTCAACTTTTGTCATTTGTAGCTCCAGAAATGCTTGAGTTATTAAACTGTACAGGAATATAAGCAAGTATATGAAGTTGTGCACCAGGGGTGTTGCTTGTTCATTCATACATTTTTTGCAGAGTTATTGCCCTTGACTTAGTCAAAATTGTGCACCAAAAGTTGTCATGCATAGCTCCAAGAGTATATGAGCTAAGATCATGAAACTTAGCAGGAAAGCTTTTCAGCATATGAAGTTGTGCACCTTTATTTGTTTGTGGATTTATTCAGTATTGCAGAGTTATTGCCCTTTGACTTAGTCAAAATTGGCAATTTTCAACTTGTACATTTGTAGCTACAAAATTGTTTGAGTAAGAGGGATGAAACATTACATAAATGTTACTCAGCATTAAAAGGTGTGCAGCTTGGGTTTTGCTTGTCAGTTTTTTCGGTATTGGGAGAGTTAATGCCCTTGACTTATAAAAAATCCATATTTTAAGTTAATGCCCTTGACTTATTAATAATCCATATTTTAAGTAAGGTGGAATGTCTGGTCTAAATTCCATTCATTCCATAAGCAAGTCAATTAGTGGGTCCAATTCTTTTGTTCAATAATTGGGTTCTGGTCAATAACTGGGTCTTTGGAAACAATAGAAAGTCCCAACAATCAACAGGGTTTCAGCTTAAACTAGTATAAAAATATATATATATGCTCAGTTTCATACTGTTTTCACTTTCAGACAATATAAAATTGATCAGTCAGAAGAACATTATACATGATGGTTTGTCATAGTTAACAGTATGCATTGTGTACTACATTGTGTTTATGACTATATCTTGTTCTTATGTAAATGTATATACAATTCAAGACGTGTAAGTGGGGGCATCTTTTTCCTTTGGACTCATTTCTAGTTCTTACATGTTGAGTATTTACAAACATCAAGTTGTTGTGTAATTTTAAGAAACCAAAGAGCGTCAAAGAGCTTCAGATATGACTAATATTACGTTTAAATAAGGTTTAAAACTCTACATGAACATAATAAACCAGTAGGTTATTCAGGATAAAGAACATCTTATACTGATTCTCCAAATGGTTGATGGTAGATAAAGCACTGCTTATTTACTAACAAATTACGTTATTTTGAGTTCGGTAATTGCCCACATTTGATTGAGAGATAACATGGTTAAGTTCAAGAATGTATCTTAAAATGATGTCTCTGATTTCAGTAGTATGTACAGTGTATATTTAGTTTACTGAGGTATAAGATGATTAATGTTTAAATTGTTTTCTTCCAGCAAAACTGCAGCAAAAGGGATTTCCACGATCAGGACACAAGAAAAAGTATGACAAATTAAATTCATGTACTTTCTGCAAGAAAATGATACATTCTAAAATTACTAGACATTTGCTTACGCATAAAGAGCAAGCTGAAATTCTCAAAATTAGACTGTTGCCAAAGCGATCTGAAGAGCGAGCTGCAGAGTTTTCAGCTCTTTAAATGAGGGTAATTACAAGCATAATGTGGAGGTTTTGAAGTTAAATAAAGGTACCCTATTCACAATGGGACGGGAGAGTCCAGACAAGTCAAAACACTCTATAGAGGATTACTACCCTTGTGAATATTGTAAAGGGTTTTGCCAAAAGACTATTGTGGCATCATGCCAGCAACTGTAAAGTTAGAAAACTTCGAAATGGGAGTGATGGTAACTTTTTGTGCAATTCTCGTACATTGCTGTATAGTTCTCTACTTGAAAATGATGATCATGCCATAATGCCAATGTTAGAAAGAATGAATGATGGGGAAGTCAAAAGAGTTATAGCAAAAGACAAAATACTTATTGTAATTGACAGCAATATTGGATCAAGTAGCAAAGACTTCTTTTAAATAATAATTTAAACATTGAATCCAGCCATCTTTCAGTTAGCATTTATTGTTGTTTTTTTAATTAATTATTTTTTTAAGCAAAGTATTTTAACAGTTACTGGTAAGCGAGTAGTTTCCGTACAGAAATCACATTGATTTTGAAATCTTTTTCAAATGTAAATTCACAAGAAATTACTTGTTACATACATCAAAGTTCAGTTTGTCACATGCAATCACGGTTATCTTGTTGTGTTCTAAATATAGAATTATGTTAGATATGAGGTTACAAAATAGCTCTTTATTTTGCATGAAGAGAAGCAGTTCCAGTACAAACATAAAAATTGACAAGATTATGCTATATCATTATATCAGCGCTCCCTTAACCTAAAATCGATAAGTAGAACGTTTTACACGAGTTTCATATTTGTTTCATTGAACCTGCATTGAACATATTCTACCTGTAGAGAATGCCGGTATGCGTAGTCAAAATGGTATAAATCTTTATTCACATGTATTTATTTTCTATGCACATAGTGAAGGACGTTGGGAAATGTCGTTTTTATTCATAATCTTCTTTGGGTTACACTTAAGGATATATTATGCTTATTTCTGATGTTTACAAATGTTAAAAATCTCTTCATAGTTCCATTATACAGAAGATTCATCAGGTGTAAAGTGCTATATTTGGTTTAAAAGGTTACACAGGAATGTAAACTAACGTGTAAACTTTGTACATAACTCTTGTCAAGGTTTTTGACAGAATTAATAGCCCTTGTTTTACTTAAAAAGTGTATTGAGCTTGGTTAAGTTTTTTGTACCACCTCGCTCTATTTCAAAACCATTGGAGGTATTGCTTTGAAACTAACATACTTGTTTACCATCACGACCTTCGTCAACAGACAAGAGGACATAACTCTGTCAAGGTTTTTGACAGAATTATGCCCCTTTTTTACTTAGACAATACATTGAATATGGGTAAAATCCACTTATTGCCTAAACCCTTTGAGATATTGTTTTGAAACTTTAAATGCTATTTCACATCATTACCCCCATCTGTACGCAAGAGAAGGTAACTCTGTCAGGGATTTGTTTAAAAAATTAAGGCCTTGTATCGACTTAGAATCTTGGTTAACTTTTTTGTACCAGTCCACTTTTTGACTGAACTGTTTGAGATATTAATTTGAAAGTTGGAATACTTGTTTACCATCATGGTCCCAAAACATGGGCAGGAGAAGGTAATTCTGTCAAGGATTTTATTTGAATTATGGCCCTTTTTGACTTAGAAACTCAGTTTTTCATTCTTGTCCACTTGTTGACTTAACCATTTTAGATATTACTTTGGAAGTTGGAGTTCTTATGTGCCATCATGAGACCTATCTGTAAGCAAGAGAAGATAACTCTGTGAAAATGTTTCTTGATTTGTACTTAGAAATTCCTAGTTAAAGTCTTGTGTGCCCTTAACTGTCAAAGTTTTGTTTTATAGGCAAGCACTAAAAAAGTTGAGCGCGCTGTCCTTCTGACAGCTCTTGTTTTAAGAAATGAGATTAATTGGGCGAGTTGTTAAAAGGGACTGCAGTTTTCAAAACAATATTTCTTTCTTTGACTGCTTAAATTAGACAGATTTATTCAGAATTTCTGATTTTATGTGGGTCATCTGGGGTCAAAAACTAGGTCAAATCGTAAAATAAACCTTGTGTATACAATTGAAGCTGTATTTTTAATCCAATTTTCATAATATTTGGTCAGAATGTTTGTTTGATGAAATCAAGTTTAGGATTGTAGTTGGATCATCTGGGATCTACATCACTCTTGACCTGAATTTCGACTTATTTCTTGATTTCTACCACTACAACACTTGGCTTGTTAAATGCGTCTAGTTAATTGTTACCAATGGTGAAACTTGTATTACCCATCCTCAGTTTGACCTTGACCTAATTTTAGACTTTAGACTAATTTGAATGACCTACAGGTCTTGGTTAACTAACTTGTAATACTCCTATACTTAATTTAGACTTAAACTTACTGAATAACCTTTTATTCTTATAAGAAAATTTTGATAAATGTAGTTGCTGCCTAAATTATTGATCCATATTCTCAATTTTATTCATCCTTATCCTCAAATTCAGTTTGTGTTCTACATTGATGTTTACATTGTTTGAACTTGAAATATTTATCATCTGAAATACATGATTATATACTGATGCTAAAAAGAAACTGTGCACATTATTTTTTGGAATAATTTTGTAACTACTTACATCGTCGATACGTACATCATTTACTGTTTTGCTGTTAAACCTTTTCAAAAATCATGCCACCTTTTAGCTAAGAAAATAAGCTAAGTATCGATACTAAATTTACGTTTCTACACCAACGATTTGTGAATATTAACCCGTAAAATCAAAGTGCACAGTTTCCTTTTAGCATCAGTATATATCCTGGAGCTTTAAAACTTCATCTGCATGTAAACTTTATTGACAAAACTGCCTACGGGGGCATAGACATTTATTGAACGGAAAGTCTTGGTAGCTTTTATAACCAGCTGATCCGTCTGAAACTGAAAGCTTACATATAACCTGAAACAGATTAGTATTGAATACTTTGAGTTAATATGTCTCTGATTGTGAATGTTTCTATGCTTTTTTTTCTGGATAAATTTGTTCTGAAAGATTGTTGTTGTTTTCCTTTTTGCCATTCATTCTCTTGTTCTGGGGACCACTCAGTGATCCATTGGATAAGAATCCCCGATTTGAAGCACTGGCCATTCACTGCTAGAGAATCATGGGTTCAGGCCCTGCTACCAATCAAGTCTGTTTGTGAGAAA